TGGGCTCGCGTCTCCCCTCAAGCCCCCGGGCCTCACCCCCAGCCCGTCGCTGCCCGGACGCTGCACCTGGAGAAGTGCTGCAGAGCAAGTCGGACTTTGTAAATGGTGGTGTTGGGAGGGTGGTGTGTGGGTTTGTGCGTGGCGTTGCGAACGCAAACTGGGCTGTAAAAATCCATCCGTGTCCGTCTCCATACATCAGACCGGCTGGCAGCTTGTGTTTCTCCGAGAAACTGCAATATTAAGGACGCCTTAGCTGTGTGTTTCAGAGCTTTAATACTCGATATATTTTTCATGAAAAATCCTGGAACTTCTTTTCACCCTCTTCATTTTGTTGATTGGCAGGTGAGGTCTTCCGGATTCCCCGTCAGCCTAGCTTAACGGCAACTAGTTTACTCCAAACCTCAACCCCTCCCTTTAACCCGGCGAGTGTGTCTTGATTTAAGAGTCTGGGTGTGTTTTGAGCAGTATCTGATGAGCTGCTTAGTGTCCGTTTGGATAAAGATCGCCTGTCTCCTCCAACTGAGATCAGTCAGAGGCCCTGTTCTATCCCCCAGCAAATCTGTGTGATGTTGCAGTATTTTCCTAGGCCGGGCTGGGGCCTGACAATGATTTTGTGACCTTGGACCGGTCCCTTCCCTTAACCTAGATCTTGGTGGAAGATGTGGCTTAAAATCCAAGTCCTGTTTGCTTATTTATTTTAAAGTTTATTTTGATGATCCCATCATGGAATCAGACGTGGGACTCTGCTGAGTGAATTGGCCAAGTTTGTTTTTCCACTTTGTGGGTGATCCCACGTATAGAATATTCCATTGTAAGAAAAGACACTGACAGAAGTCGCCTTCTACTTCCAAAACTGAATGAACTCAGTTATGATTCTTTGAAAAGTTTACTGCGGGTAACCGTTACCATCTTGAATTTAATTCCCATCCTTGTCATATACAAAGAGTTCCTGGGAAGAAACCTTTTCAGTTCTTGTAATAGTGAGACATGTTGGCTTAGTTAGAGCCTTAGGCTAACGACAGGAAGGGCAGGATTCTTTTTTTTTTTTTTTTTAAGAATTTATTTTTTTTATGCATACAAAAATCAGGTACAGGCCAGAAATACAAGGGCCGGTGAGAGAATTCACCAGCAACAGAGTGCGAAGCAGAACAGGCAGATGGACAAAGTACACTGCTGAGGGGAGCAGTGGGTGAGACAGGAGAGGTCTGCTGTGCCATGTGGGTCAGCTCGGGGGTGGGGATCGAACTCACACTGAAGTGGCCATGGCTTGGCTTCGCAGTGCAGCGCTCCAACCGGCTTTGCCACCAGGGAGGGCAGAAGGACAGGATTCCAACCTGAGAGTAGTCTAGAACTCTGCTTGAGAACTGTCTCCTCTCAAGGCGAGATCCTGCACCATGAATTCTGGCTCTGAATGTACCTGCTCTGAGCCCTATGCTATGGACTGTGTGCACTACGTTTGAGAAAGGTTTAGGAAAGACTGCAAGGACTTAACCCCTAGCCACTGCCCCCAAGCAGCACTGGTTGGGGTGGGCATCCTAGCTTGGTGCCTGGAACCTGCAGGGTGACCCTGTAGAGGGCTCCTGGGATGACAGGGAGTGGGGTGGGGGGTGGGGGTGCCCATTAGCTACTTTAAAAAAAAAGTTACGAATCATTGCCCACCTTTACAAAAATCTCAGGAAGTGTTTGTAATAGGTTTCCTTTGTCCGTTGACGTTTTTATTTGTTGGTGAACTGCTTGTCTTGAGTTTGGGGATAGAGGGAGGAGTACTCTTGTTCCATGAAAATCAGGATGATGATGACAAGGTAGCCCTGAAATGTCATTATAGGAAAATATTACAAATATTTGGTTGGCTTGTTTTTGCTAGGAGCACATCCCTCCTGAGGTAAAGGACAGTTTAGATATATTGAAAAAAAAAAAAAAAGAAAGAAAAAGAAAAACAAGCAAAGCACCTGCTTCCTTGTTGGGTGGCTTCACTGGCACTTATGAAACACAGCCCGTGTGGGAGTGTGGTTCTAGCCCCTGGCTTGCTCTTTGCTTATGATGACTTCATGTGCAGCGATGGAGCTAGCAAGTACAGTCAAATATGCAGGAGAAAACCTCGCGAGAGGGTGATTGCATCACCTCCTCCGTGGTGCTGCCCTTGTCTCTGAGAACTTATTCCCCCCAACATTTCCTTGCTAGGGAGGCCAGCTGGCTGGCTTTGGGATTTGGTCATTGTTATTTTGAAATTTTCTGTCAGCTGGTGGTAGGACTTTGATTTCAGAAAGGAAATGCACCAGGATGAGAGAGGGAAGTTTAAGGAAATAAGCCCACGGTGCAAGGGTACTTAAACTTCTTTCAGCTATGATCTTGAACTTTGCTCGCACACGTATGGCTTTGAACTCCAGATGAAGGGCATCAGAGGGATGCTGTTGCCATCCAGGTACTACATGTGAAGTCGAGAATGTCTCAGGTGCCCCCAATTCAGCAGTCCTATGTTATTCAGGAAAAAAAAAAGTGTATAGGGAGAGATGGTGGGAAGGATGCTGAACTTGGAGACTTAAACTTCACTTCAGCACTCTGCTGGTTGCCGTCTTGAGGACATTTATTTCACTTTTTTGAATTTCAAACCTAACATCTCCTTAAGCCCTAGTCCTTAAGTAATGTAAGACCAGATCATAGTTTTTCCTTTCCCTTTTCTTGAATAACTGCTTTTCTTGGCTTTTGTAAGATGCAATTGGTTAATATGACAAGTTAATATTTAGTAGGGTACTTGGGTAAATTTGATACTGCATATCCAATATGTGAGAAACTGATAAGCAAAGAAATGATCAATCTTAGGAGTTGGTCCCTAGATGCTTCAGGCCGTAGATCATCCAGATCGGTTTTCCCCTACGGGAGAGTTCTAACTATCAGCTTATCTGCAGTCCAGCTGTCTGCAGAGTGCTGTTTTTCTCTGGAGACTGGGGATGGGAGGGGGTGGGGGGGTCAAGGGTTAGGGCTGTGGATGGTTGTAGAATGAAGTCTAACTCTTGCTCTTGAGAGGTAGATAATCTAGGTAGGAAGATGAGTTTAAATGCAAAGTATGACAATACAGATCGATTATTGAAGTGTACAGAATATGTTGAATAAAATAGAGGCTTCTGGAAGAGGGGAGCTGAAGATCAAGAGAACCTGTCAGTTATCAAGAACATTCTCCACTGTAATGGGGAGGTCACTCCCTCAGTGTCGGATCTTTACCCACCTAGAGCTCAAGTAGTGGGACTTCTTACAGTTTCCATTCAGCAAAGGTTCAGATTCCTGCAGAATCTAGTCCTAGCCGATAGAGACACATCTGAATGACCCTGCTTCTGTCATGCTGCAGTAATTGAAAAGCAGCACTTCTTGCCATTTCTGTTTCTCTGCTCCCCACCCCACCTTTCTTTCTCCGCCATCAGACTCTCTCTTGCTCCATTTTTCCTTGGAGCGAGTCCTTAACTAGGCAGAAAAATGAACAACACTGCATTTGAGTGAATGATCTACAAGACGTTGGTCATTCCATTTATCCAGTTATACAGAGAAATTGATAGACAATCCTATAATATAAACCAGAAAAATCTCCCCCCCCCCTTTTTTCTATACTTTTATTCGTACAGAACTGGGGTACAGGCCAGAGATGCGGAGGGTGAAAAGATTTACCAGAGACAGAGTGGGGTGTAGAACAGACAGATCCGATGAAGTAACACTGCTGAGGGGAGCAGTGGGCCGGTCAGGAGAGGTCTGCCTTGCCACGTGGACCTCCTCCCGGGCTGGCTGGCAGGATCTCCCGCAGGCGGGATCGAACTCACGAGGGAGTGGCTTAAGCTTCTTTGTGCTGCGCTTTAACCCGCTACACCACCAGGGAGGGCCAGAAAAATCCCCTTTTATATAAGTCAGGAAATCCTTTAAAAGTTAGCATGGTTCCAGATACCCATGATAACCCATTTCAAAGAAGGTCGAATTATTTGCAGCAGTAATTATTTCAGAAGTATTCTGCTTGTGATAGTTGAGATAGTGGATTGAACTGGTAGTTATCATTTTTCTACCAGACATATGTAACTGGCAACGACTGACTATGATTTTGTGGGAAGTTTATTAACAGACTGTTTTCTGTAATTTTTTTTCCTGATTGTAGAACAACAGTCTGAGGAAAAGTTTAGTAATTTTTAATTATATTTTACTTATAAAATGTAGGGAGTTAAAATACCCCCCCCATCCAGTTATTGAGATTATCCTTCATCCTCAATTAATCAGGTAATAGCATTCTAATTTGATTTGGCTGGATAGGCCAGCCTTTAATCTGTAAATGGTGTTGGAGTATAGTGATGCTGCCACCATGCTTAATAATGGTCCAGGCCACGTCGGTGAAATAATATGTGGTTGATGTCACCGAAGGGGCCATTTCTATCCTCTGCTGTCTGCTTATAGTCATTTACCTCTAGTGTTTAAACATGTGAAAGTCACTCTTACTTTCTTTGCGTTGGAAACATGTTTTGCTAAAGAGCCGATAGTTTGCTTTACCTACCATCCATCCATCCATCCATCCATTCATCCATCCATCCATCCATCCATCCATCCATCCATCCATCCATCCATCCATCCATCCATTCATTCATCTATCTTCAGTCTCTAGACCAATCCCCAAAATTCCAATGGAATCTTTTGGTGGTCAGAATATTATTTATTGAATGAATGAACCTAATTTGTAAGCAAGATATAAGAGTAAGTCCTAAGTTTTGTTGGTACACTGGGACTGATGTAGCAACTGAGAATAAAATAAAATCTGAAACAGTCAGAGAAGCCTGTTTGGAAGAAGTGGGACTTGAGTTGGCTTTGCAGAATATAAAAGATTTGAACAAGGAGAAAATGGAGGAGGGCATTTTGAGTGCTGTATGAAATCATAGGGACAGGAATGACTCAGTGAATGCCAGGGCAGGGAGAAGTCTGGCCTGACTGCCTGCAGCAGCATATGTTGATTGTAGGCTGCTGGGGAGGACGTAGGGATGGATAGGCTGGGGAATGAGGAGCATCTGAAGCTAAGCCATATCGGCTGTGCCCTAGGTGTTGCGCCTGCAGGTCAGTTTCCGACCGGGGTGTGGGTGCTGAGGCTGCCCATACCAATAGGCAATTCTCAGACACCAGAAGGTTCCTGAGAATTCAACTCAGTTCTGACATTATCTAACTGGAGTTTGCCTAAGACTCCACAGATAAAGGACTCGGTTTCCCCAGACCACTGTCTACTTCAGTGCCCTCTGCAAAAGCCTCGGCTGCTCCCTCCTGCCCCCGCTTCTGACCAAGGGACTGCAAATTAAAGATTCCACAGCCCCTTCTCACACTTCAGGTGCCTGTCCCAAGGGCAGGCCATTATCTGGGCTTCTGACCCATTGCCAGTAAATTAGAGGTTCCTAGAGTACTCTGCTCACCATCCTTGACTAATTGGCTGGAATGGCACATGGAATGCAGGAGCTGCACCTTACAAATCACTGATTTATTACAGAGCAGGCTAAAGGATACCAGACAACAGCCAGATGGAAGAGATGCTTAGGGAGAGGTGTGGGGAAAGGTGTGGAATTTCCATACTGTCTCCCCGCGTACCCTCCTCCCCCAAATCCTCACTTGTCCACCTGGAATGGGTGAACCTAGAGCTGGCCAACCCCTAGTCTCTTGGGCTTTTATGGAGGCTTCATTACATGAGTGATTGATTTATCATAGTGGCTACTCACAGCTGAATTCAATCTCTAGATCGCCCCTGGAAATCAGGGAACTGAAAGTCCCAGCCCTCAATGTCTGTTGGTTTCTCTGGCAACCAGCTGCCATCCACAGGTGTTTTCCAGTTCTAGTAACAGCAAAAAACACTTCACATGCACAACACTTGGAAATTCAAAGGCTTTGGGGGGAGCTGTGAAACCGGAATTGTGGCTGAAGACAAAATGCACATGAGAAATAGGTATTTCTTGTAAGTCACCGTCTCGCAAAGATCCCTACTTCAGATCCTGTGTTTGCCCTTTTATCAGCTATGTGATCTTTTGCAACTTGCTCACACTGTACCTTAGTTCCTCAATTTTAAAATGGGCGGGAAATAGTAGAACCTACTTAACAGAAAGTGTTTCCTATATATGTCACAAGTACTCAGTATGAGGTTTACTAACAGAGGGGACGACTCAGAACTGGTATAGCAGGAAAGAGAAAGCGGGAAAGTTGATGTCTGGTATTAGGGACTTGACAGGGACCAGCGACCCCAGAAGATGGCCAGACCAAGGATGGAATGGGCTTCCTATGAGGTGAGCGGCGGGGGGACATATGGAAATGAGCCCAAATTGTTAAGTCCAGTGTTGTGTAAGCATCCCAGGCTGGGTAGGCTCATGGTTGATTTGGGCACAAGAAAAGAGAATTTTGGAGCCCTTGATAGATTTGACAGGACTTTAATGCTGAAGCAGGACACATGGACACGGCCGGCCAGCAGGCAGGGAGGTAGCAACTGAGCCTCCCAGCCCCTGGGACTCTGCCCTTCTTCCTCCTCCTTTCTCAGCCCAGTGCCCATTATCACGTGTGTACTGAAGAAAGCAAAACCGCAGGGAGTGGCTGTAAGGTTGGTGGTGGGAGACAACAAAGAGCCCGAGCCACTGTTACCACATCTGAAGGGGAGGTGGGGTATGGGGCAGGTAAACCCATGGGTGGAGTTCGAAGAGATGGCGAATGATGATAGATGTGGAGTTTCCTCTTCTTCGGCAGGCCCCACTGGCATGAGACAATCGGGAAGCTCACATGTCCCAGCACCCTAGAATTAACACTGCAACGCCGTGAATGGTTTGTCAAGGTGACCTAAGTGAATTACTCAGTTCTGCCACGAGCCATCCACTTACAGCTCGATATAGACAGGGCTTAAATCATCGTGCTGTTAGTGTGTTCGGCTGTGTCTGTGCTTCTACGCTGCCTTTAATGTTAATTTCCACCCACCCAAAGTGCAACTTCTCGAAAGGAGCCACCTGTCAACACAGAGGTTTTCTATAAAGGTGCCCTTGTTCATTAACATGATTTTATATTTCTCGGGCATGTTGACCTGACTTTTTTCTCCACTACTGGAGAATCTACTTATGAATCTATCTTTTGTTGTTGAAAAAGGAAATACTGCTTTAGAGTGACTGAAGAACTGTAGTTCTACTTCTTTTGGTCAAACAGAGATCATGATGTAATTTTAGAATTATTGTGGGCCAAAGGAGACACAGCAAGCTGTCAAAATTAAAGAGAATTTTGTTTATTTTTTCTGCAGTGTGTGCAGTTCTCAGAGGGACTGTTTTCTTTTGTAACACAAATAAATGTAACATTCCTGCCTATTTTTATTACTTCTGCAAGAGTCAATTTGTTTCTGATAATTTGTGCTGAAAAATGTGACTTGTAAATCTTCCACACATTTTAGCAATTCTTCCTGTACATAATTTTATGTTGGAGGTGTGTGTGTGTGTTGAAATTGTCACTGCTCAGTCTGAACCAAAAATGATTGAATATGCAGTTTAGCAATCCATTTGCTTATGAATATTTCAACTTTATTACATAAACTCTATAGAGTGCCTATAAAATAGTGATGAAAATGGCATTCATAGACTTTTTTTAAATGTAAAAATGTGCGTGATCTTCTGAAAGAGATGTTTTCTTTATGTCAGAATTTGGCATATGAGGAACCCAACTGGATAGCTTTATAAATCTGAAAATATACTGGTTAGTGTGATCCTAACTTATACGACTGACCAGATTACACAAGCACATTGTCCTGTAGGAACTGAGATGAGATCTACACTTATTTAGAATTATTATACTGATGCAGTGCCTAGCAGCTAGATCGCTTTATCATTCACTAGAACTCAAATTTTGACTGTGTTAATAGGTTATACTAAATTTAACCCCATATATTGATTTTCCTGTGTACTTTTTTTTTTTTTAAGATTTATTTGTGCATACAAAACTGGGGTGCAGGCCAGAGACTCAGGGGTGGTGAGAAGCTTCACCAGAGACAGAGTGGGGAACAGAATA